AGCTGTCACTAATGCTACCGAGTAAAGGAAGACGTGGGTACACGGGACATCTCTGTACTGAAGCAGGGTTGACTTCATTCCGGACGAGCACTCTTGAGAGAAAGCGAGAATTTGTAAACAATGAATACTATTGTTAATAATGCGAAGCTCTTCTATGAATTGAACCCTCTCGGTGATCGTTTATTCAAAGACTACATACGTAAAAATCAGCCTTCCTCTCTACCGGGCGCTGATAGCTCAGGGATAAAATCTGTTTCTGATTCCAAATCAGTTGGGTTTCAATCCTGCCTTCAGGTAATTGGGTGTCTAGCCACGCTATGATACTGCGAAACAGAATGTCTGTGGCTGACAATGTATATATATATATATATATATATGGATAGAGAGAGCGAGAGAGAGAGAGAGAGAGAGAGAGAGAAAGCAGGATATATATATATATATATATATATATATACATAGATAGAGAGAGAGAGAGCGAGAACTCCAAGAAGAGTCACCAAACTCAGGAGGTTCAACACCAAATCCAAAATCTTTGAGTGTCTGAACTAATTAAAATTAACCAAAGGAAAACAAAAATGACGTCCACTCCTCCATCTGGTGTGTCCTACAAAGAGCCAGCAATACTTGTCAAAATAGTAGCAGGTTGTCGACACTTTCTATATATTCAAAATAGTATGCCAACGGATGGTGGACTCGATGCCGAGATTTTTTTTTCACGCATTCAGAAGGCAAGTGTTGCATGTGGTAAATTCTATACTCTTCTGAAACATGGACAACATACTGGAGGCATGAAATGGTTTGATCAATTCTACCAAAAAGAGATGCATCTTTAATATCAAATGGCGACCTTTGATTTCAGATATTGTTGTCTTCTAAAGTTCTCAATGTAAAAGCATTGAAATAAGATTAATCCTCAACCATATTCGATGGTAAAGACCTGTTGTGAGAATGGGCGATAACAGGTATTCGCAAACAACTTTCCAACGGGGAACAGAAGACTGGAAAGAGAAACACAAGACTAGGAAGATTTTTTGAAGATGCTATGAAGGATAACCTGAATGGATGTGCGGCATTGGGAAAAAAACTGACTTTAAACCGTACAGAGTAGAAGCACTTTATTAGGAAAGGGAAGCAATGCCTTTGAGGATGAATTTCTCAGGAATACAAAGATCAAGCGTTATCTCAGAAGAGACACTGATTTGTTGAGGGCAGTTTATATACACCATCTTAAAGATCATTATAACAAATACAAACAAATCAATTATACCTCATCGTCCTGTCGCCAATACCTGTGTTGTTTACAACAAGATTTATAGGCTTTGTAGATCATCACCTGGACTGAGGTGACACATGGTGGTACACAGGAGAGTTGTAGGGAATATAGATCCACTCACCCAGATCAAAGATACAGCCTTTATCTGTCATATACGCCTGATAAATATTAAATCGAATGCTGGTCAAGTTAGAATTTTTGGGTAGTATTAGTGAGCCAGCCAAAATGAGCTGACTCATTTTATAATTCACCAATAGAAAGGTTAACCAATCAGAAGGCTCAAAATATTCAATGCGACGTGTATAAAGGCCGCCATGTTTTTTTTTCCCGAATATTCACTGGCAGCCTTTGATATCGAAGACTGAAGAATTACAGAAGAGCTGCTGGTGGTATTGGCGATATAGGCAGATTCAGTAGAGTGTCATACTAGTGAGTGTTAATCTTTAACGTTGTTTCATTGAACAGATTACGTACTGCGCTGGATTCTATATTCATAGACTATGGTGAACATGGTTAACAGGTCATCCTAGGCGTGATGGACACCGAAATGGAACGGAAAACATCACAGACGATGCGAAGGGTGTATGGGCGTCTTTCGTGTGAGTGAGATATGGCGATCATTATATATACACTACTGCTACTACTTCTAATATGACGATTACGATTTTTTAATGTCGATAATTTAGAACATAGAAATATCAAAATATATAGAATAACCACCAACCTTTTGACCACATAAATCAAGCATCTTCCGAAAGTAGATGCAGAACGACTGTAACTGTCTAGAGCAGAATGAAAAATGACTTAAGTAGAACTCTCATAGAAGTCTACAACCATAGAACATAGAATATAGACAAAATAAAAGGTTCATTTCGAAATTCTAATCACCTGAAGAAGGCTGGAGCGGACAACGTCCGAAACGTTCTGAATACAGCAATGAAGATGAGGATAACAGTCCGAATAATGTGAATAATGCCAGAAGCTAATCATGTCTTTAACTACCTCATCTCAATGAAGATATAGACAGCCATTAAATAATGCAAGTAATCATAATACCCCATCTCAGAGATATAGACAACCATTATATCACTGGATCTAATCTAACAACGTCTTTATCCACTGGGCCATGTGTCCTATGTGAATAGGATAACAGTCCGAATAATGCAATCAAGATGAGGATAATCAGTTTGAATAATGTAAATAATGCAAGATGATTTGAATAATGTAAATAATGCAAGTATTCATCTCTCAGAGATATAGACAGCCATTATATCACTAGAAGTTAGTCACTGGATTTAAGAACATTTTATCCACTGGGCCATGTGTCCTGTGAATATGCCAATGAAGATGAGGATAACAGTCCGAATAATTAATCCAAGTAATCATAATACTCAGGGCCATTATATCACTAGTGTCCTGGATCTAACCAACGTCTTTATTCACTGGGCCATGTGTCCTTGTGAATATGCCAATGAAGATGAGGATAACAGTCCGAATAATGAATTATATAAATAAGAGATATAGACAGCAAATATTCATCCAAAATATGGCAATGAAGATGAGGATAACAGTCCTAATAATGCTCATCTCAGAGATATAGACATTTCACTTCATCTTCCCACTCGTGATGGTTCAAGATTGGAATGGAATTTGAAGATTGAAGATATAGACAGCCATTATATCATATGGATTTAAGCAACATCTTTATCCACTGGGCCATTCTCAAAAGATTTAAATACAACTCTTTCTCCCCAAGTCTAACTTGTCATAATGTCAACCAAAAATAATGTAAATAATAGCAATACCTCATCTCAGAGATATAGACAGCCGTTATATCATGATAGTCACTGGATCTAAATCCACAAAATGCCAATTAGGATAACAGTCCGAATAATGTAAATAATGCAAGTAATCAAAGCCCATTTATCACTAGAGTATCATAATATCTTTATTCACTGGGCCAAATTAATCTAACAAAAAAAAATAATGCAAGTAATCTAACTCAGAGATATAGACAGCCGTTATATCACTAGGACAAAATTCTTTATCCAATTTCTGGGCAATAAGATGAGGATAACAGTTTGAATAATGTAAATAATGCAAGTATTCATAATACTTCATCTCAGAATATAGACAGCCATTATATCACTAGAAGTTAGGCCATTTAAGAACATCTTTATCCACTGGGCGTAATATGCCAACAAGATGAGGATAACAGTCCGAAACGTTGAGATATAGACATTTGTTCATCTTCCTCGGATGGTTCTTGAATGGAAAGATTGATTTGACGATAACATTACGAATAATGTAAATAGTCTTGAAAGACATCTTTAATTAACCAGAAATTGGCCAACAAAGCTTGTTTATCATATGTGTATAACTAAAATGTACATACAATTACAAAAGAAATCCAAAAAGGATTATTTACAGCTATATGAACAATATATGATGAAATACCAAAAGTAGGGAAAGGAGCAATAAAATAAAACCAAGAGTGCTTGATTGCTATGCGATATCAATATAATATTTTATGCCTATATAATATCTATATGATAGATCATATGCGTTTATATGATACCTGTATGATATCATATGTCATATCTTATATGACAGGGAATATTGGGTAATCACCCCACGGTTTAGGAAGGAGCTAGAGTAAGCGAAAATGTGGTACTACAGAAGGCTACTGGAAATTTCATGGACACAGCGGGTAACAAGGAAATCTTATAAAAAACCGGAAAAGGTGGCTGAAGTTCCTTGGCCAGAGTGGGTGAGCAACAAGGAACTTTTATAAAAAAAATCTGGAGAGGTGGCTGAAATTCCTTGAACAGAGCGGGTAAGCAACATGTAAAACTTATAAATAGAATCCGGAAAAGTGGCTGAAGTTCCTTGGACAGAGCAGGGGAACAACAAGGAAATCTTATAAAAAGATTCCGGAGAATGTCGCTGAAATTCCTTGGACATGTAATAAGTAAGGAGCATTTGGAAAACTTAAACTTCACGAGGCATAACGAGGGCAAGGGGTACAAATGATATGTAGTTGTGGAGAGCTATAGTCGCCTATGTCCTGATGGGACGAGGCATATAGAGGAAGGGCTCAATCAACCTAAAAACCAAATGGGAAGAAGAACAAATATATGACTGATACCCACCGCAAAAACAAGGCCCTGATTTTGACTAAAATCGAACCCATCAGTGACTGCGGAAGTTTGGGCTGAAGCCAGAAATACGGAGATTTGTTCTAGTCGCTCATATAAATAAAGATCCGACCAGGTACAGTGATGAGACCGATCCAAGATGTTACTTGTGTGAAGTGTGGCATACATAAACCTAGAAAAACTCAATGGAGAATAAAAACAGCGAGAATATATTTCAATGAGTCCACATATAAGGTACAAAAATCACTCGATGTAGCCACCATCAACGATCACTACTTTCTCCAGGTGGGACCGGAAGCTGGTGCAGACATAGGCGATGGCGCCTCTGTTCATGTTGGCCATGGCGTTCTAGATGGCTGCCTTGAGATCCACCTTGTAGCGCCTGCAGCTCACCTCACTCTCCAAGACGCTCCACACAAAGCAGACGAGAGGAATGCAGTTTGGCAGTAAGGGGGATAAGAAGTCAGGCAACCAGTTATACGGTGAACGAGTGGCGCCTTTTGAGTACATAAGATTTATAATTAAAGTATTTGTCCGCCTGCTGGTGCCCATATCTGCGACAATTTTCCTCACGCTTTTGCTGGGATTCTCCTTGAAAACTTCGGCAATTCGGCGCCGAACTCCGTCCTGATGAAGAGCTTCTTCAATGTCTTGCATTCTGGCCGAACTCCTTGACAACTTCGGCAATGTCGGCGCCGAACTGACGTCCTGATGACGCTAGAGCGCTTCTTCTTTGTCTTGCATTCTGGCCTGAAACTGTCCTGACAAAACTGACGCCGCTTCTTCTTTGTCTTGCATTCTGGCCTGAAACTGTCCTTGACAACTTCGGCAATGTCGGCGCCGAACTCGGGCGTCCTGATGACGCTAGAGCGCTTCTTCTTTGTCTTGCATTCTGGCCTGAAACTGTCCTTGACAACTTCGGCAATGTCGGCGCCGAACTGTGTCTTGCATTCTGGCCTGAAACTGCCCTTTGACAACTTCGGCAATGTCGGCGCCGAACTCGGGCGTCCTGATGACGCTAGAGCTTTGTCTTGCATTCTTCTTTGTCTTCGCATTCTGGTCCTGAAACTGTCGCCTTGCATTCTGGCCTCTGTCCTGACAACAATGTCGGCGCCGAACTCGGGCGTCCTGAACTCAGAGCGTCCATTCTGGCCTGAAACTGTCCTTGACGGCAATGTCGGCGCGAACTTCTTCTTTTTGTCTTGCATTCTGGCCTGAAACTGTCCTTGTCGGCGCCGAACTCGGGCGTCCATGATAGAGCGCTTCTTCTTTGTCTTGCATTCTGGCCTGAAACTGTCCTTGTCAGCTGAGGCCCATATGCCCTTGCAAAGCCGTAGACAATGGTTTTAGGTTATGTAAACCATTCAATAATTACTTTGGATTTGTGGCCGGCGCGAATGTTCGCAACAGCAGTAGTTCTTATATCGTATTCTGAAGACATGTCAATTGCTAAGAGCTTCGTGCACCAATGACCACACAATCACTGAGGTGTAGTACTTTTTAATAGCGCCCTCAAAACCTCACTACGTTGTAACGTCAAGGTTAATATTACTGATTTATCTGCGCCTCAATTTACTATAACCTATCTACAAATGCATTTTAAATATCGAATTGATAGTCTAAAAGAAATACTCGCTTCGGAATATATGTTAAAAGTGTAACATTTCCCACGTAGTAAAATGGTTAGAACACAAACTAGTGCTAGTACTAGAAGATGAAAATATCACAGAGTTCTTGGAATTCGTTACACACACGGATTGCACTCTACAAATCAACAAACCAAATATAATAACAGATTTCAAAAAGCATAATTGATCGCTTATAGACACGGACACAGCGTCTGATGGAAACACTTCAGAATCTCCAATATATATGGATCTCGATTAATTGATTTCTATTTTTTACGGCTTATCAAGATTTGCAGGTATTTTTAAAGCCAGAAAATATTTTCAGACTGTAAGGACGATGAGGAGAGGGAGGAAGGCGAGAAGAAGAAAAAGAAGGACGATGACAAGTGGAAGAAGAAGAAGAGGAGGAAAGGTGAGAAGAAGAAGAAGAAGAAGAAGAAGAAGAAGAAGAAGAAGAAGAAGAAGAAAAAGAAGAAGGACGAAAATATGGAGATATTAACAAGAAGAATAGAAGCAGAACAATGAGGGTAAGAAGAAGAAGAAGAAGAAGAAGAAGAAAAATGATGAAGATGGGGAGGAGGGTGAGAAGAATTAGAAGAGGAAGAACGATGAGTAGAGGTAGTAGGGTAGATAAAAAAAGAAGAACGATGAAGAAAGATCATGGTGAAAAGAAGAACGAAGAGGTTGTGGATGAGAAGAAGAAGAAGAAGAAGAAGAAGAAGAAGATGCTAATAATAAGAATGATGATGAGTAGAAGGTGGAGGGTGAGAAGAAGAACGATTAGGCGATGGAGTTTGTGCGAAAGAAAGAAGCTGGACGAAGGGGATGCGGAGCCAGATGAGAAGGAGAAGATGAAGAATAAGAATAAAAGGCAGAAGAAAAAAGGCGATGACGAGAGGGAGGATGTTGAGAAAAAGAAGTAGTAGTAATAGCACTAGTAGTAGTAGTAGTAGTAGTAGAAGGGTGATGAGGAGGGGGAGCGGAGGCTGAGACGAAGAAGAAGCAAGGCGAAAAAGAATACAAGAAGCATATGAAAAAGCTGAAGGACGCAAAAATATAAAACTCGTTTGCCATTTTTACGCTTCTTTGCGAACCAAGAAACCCGTCTTTTCGCATTAGATTGAGAAAAAAACGCAACAAATGTGAAAATGCAAATTACACCCGCGCTGCAAATCTGCCTTCGAGCAAGCAATCGGCGCCGAAAGACCCGCTCGCTCTTCTTTCTCTCACTGTTTCTATTCTCCTCTCTCTCTCTCTCTTATATATATATATATATATATATATATATATATGAGATGATATTCCTAATATTTTTTCAGAGATAGAAGGATAATAAAAGAATTCTAAAAATCTATTGCTCAAATAAATAAATAAATGAAACCCAAGATGATTAAAAATTATGACTACAACTCGATTAATAAAATATACTTTTCAATAAATTTATTAGATTTCCTATTAGAATAATGAATATTTATTGACAATCATTTCAGTTTCGATTTATTCTTTAGTGTTTGTTTTGAATCCTGGTGCCAATGTGCATTCGTACATTTATGTTTTATTAGCTGCGATTTGAAAATAATTTTAAAGTACATGAGGTTACTTGATTTAAAATTTGAACGCGAAGTATTTGTTTAAGTCATTATGGCGATAATCTAACGGCAAATCGAAAATGTTCAACGCATCTCTTCTTTGATAAGTTTGACAACTACATGTCAAATTAGTTACCATTTTCAGGCAGAATAAAGAAATCTGTCTATATCTCTGAGATGAGGTATTATGATTATTTACATTATTTGGATGGGTCCTGTCACTGGATCTAACCAACGCCCTTATTCACTGGGTCATGTGTCTTGGGCCAGTGGATAAAAACGTTGGTTAGATACAGTGACTACACCCCCAAAGTTTTCAGTTTAATACCAGGCTACAGTGAACCAAAAAACTTGGAGAATGGAACTAGAAGAATCTAACCCCGTGGACAAAATAAAGCGTTCGGTTGGAAATTCAAATCACTTGAAGAAGGCCGGAGCGTACAACGGCCGAAAAATTGTGAATATGGCCACGAAGATGAGGATAACAGTCCGAATAATGTAAATAATGTAAACAAAGAAACGCTATTTATACTACTTGCATTGTTCGAACTGATGTCCTCATCTTTACTGCAATATTCACGACATATTGACCATTCTACGCCCCGACCTTCTTCACGTGATACACGTTGGAATTTAGAACCGAAATTTTTATTTAGTTCACGTGAATAGATTGTTCTAATTCCACGTGCCATGCCTTTTCTTGATATCTCAGTTTTGGTTAATTCCGCTTAGTATCCTGCACAACCCACGATAAATAGAAAATATAGATATATCCAATCATCTGTAGAATCTCCAGTTCATATATTTAAAAAAAATAGCATCGTCAACCGCCATTTATATTGATTTCATGCTGCACGTCGCTTTTGAATCAGGGTACTTAGTTTATTCTTTTTGAATCAGGGTTCTTAGTTTATTCTTTTTGAATCAGGGTACTTTATTCTTGTGCTATATTGTTATTGCCTCATTGTTTCTTGTCCGTTGATGTTGGACCGGTGTAGTTTAATCTTATACGATTATCGTCCTTGTTTCGTTGTGTCTTTTGTTGGTTGAAAATCTTCTAGAAAATGGATACCCGTCATTGGATTTCAGGCCAATTTTTCTTCTTGGCTTCACTAAATGAATTATCCCGGTTCATTATTCGAATCTTTTACTCAAATATATATATATATATATATATATATATATATATATATATATATATATATATATATATATATATATATATATATATATATATATATATATATATCTGTTTTTGGATTCTTTCTTACTTTGACAGATATATTCTTATGTACAACGAACATACATGTCCTAGCCAGAATTGATCTATAGGTATTTTAATGAAAATAACTTTATCTGGAGTAACTGCACCCTCGTCCAATTTAAATACACTCCTTAATACTCCACACACTTATCACAATGTTATTTCTACTTTTCGAAACAGTTTTCAAACTGCTGCCTCATCGTCTCTCGTAATTCCGTTCATGGCTTGAAATCTATATTTCAATATCTATTTTAATTTTGGGAGAAGGAAGAAGACATAGTAAGTCAAATTTTAAGAGGAATAGGGTAGATATGTGTGATTTCAAAATCCTGCACGGCTCACAATAAATGGAAAATAAAGGTATTCAAAATAGCTGTATACTTTCCAACCATCTGTAGAATCTCCAGTTCATATAAAAAAAAATTATAGCATCGTCAATCGCTGATTTACATTGATTCACGCGCACATCTCTTTTGAATCAGGGTACTTAGTTTATTCTTCTTGAATCAGGGTACTTAGTTTATCCTCGTGCTATATCGTATTTGCTTCGTTGTTTCTTGTTCATTAATGTTGGACCAGTGTACTTAGTTTATTCTTGTACGATAATCATCCTGTGTTCGTTGTTGAATCTTTTGTTGGTTGAAAATATTTTAGAAAATGGATTCCCGTCAATTAAATATGTAGGTTTGATGAAATGGATCGTGATTACAATTCCAATGTAATAAATAAATAAATTATAACTATGGAATAGTAGTGTTTGAGCCTTATATATACATATATTGAGAAAATTAAGTCATAAATATAGCATACCTGGAAATTATATATATATATATATATATATATATATATATATATATATATATATTTTCAGGTATGCTATATTCATGACTTAAATTTAAGTCATGAATGTAGCATACCTGAAAATGATATGATTTTCAGGCATGCTATATTTATGTCTTAAATTTCTCAATATCAGGGATAAACTATTTACATTGTTCGGCCTATCGCCCTCATCGTTGTTGCCATATTTATCACAACGATTCGGCCGTTGCACGCTCCGGCCGTTGCACGCTCCGGCCTTCTTCAGGTAGTTGGAATGTCGAATCGAACCCTTTATTTCGCTCACTGGGGGAGACTGTTCTATTTTCACTTGCCATGTCTAATGGATGTCAGTTATCAGTTATCTCCTGTTAATTCCTCTCCCCAAGTTCTCGGCCGCCTTAACCAGGTATTGAATTCACACTCTCTTTTGGTCCTGTCACTGGATCTAACTAACGCCTTTATCCACTGTGCCATGTGTCCTTGAGGAAATAATGTACATAATACATCATCCCAGAAATATAGACAGATACAATCAGGGACAAAGTTTATATAAATATAAAAGTGGAAAGTGAAGTCAGCAGAGGTCGAGTAAATCTTGTTAATTAGGAAATTCAGTTAAATGAAAATTTGGGTTGAGGTTTTTGGTAGGAAAATTTTGGGAAAGTTAAATATAATAGAACCGGAAATTTGGGAAACCCGGATATAAGAGGTTTTCTGGTCCCAAATTAGAGCCTGAAAATCCATTTGGGATATAAGAGAAACCGGATATAAGAGAGATTTTTTCTGGTCCCAAATTAGAGCCTGTGTTACCTAAACAAAATAGACCAAACCCGGATATAAGAGAAACCCGGATATAAGAGAGATTTTCTCTGGTCCCAAATTAGAGCCTGTGTTACCTAAACAAAATAGACCAAACCTTATAAGAGAAACCCGGATATAAGAGAGATTTT